TGTTCTCCTGCCTTTCTGAATGAGTCGTGTCCCACTTACTCGTTGTCACAGACCGATTGTTAGGTTCTTGTATTAAGTTGGAACAATTTTACATTGCGTTATGATATGGATGCTACGTAGCAGAGCATGTGAGCGGAGTGGAGCGGAGCGTGAGCGAGGAGCGGGCGGAATTTGGTCAGAGCGCGGAGCGGTTTTTTAATTAAGGCTGGAGCGGTCGCTCTGTCTCGCTCCAGTTTCGCTCCGATACCGCTCACACTAAGACTCTGAGGCGTGGCCAGATCTACCCAGAATTCATCTGTACAATTATCAAGACTGTTACACAAATTGGCCGAGATGGAATTCGCAAAGTATTTCACAAAGGAAACTGATAAATCATACAAGTGTACTATTCTTATCAAACGTATAGATAACAATAATGTACAGTAAGAACAACAATGTCATGAAACTGTTTCAGTGAGTAAAGATTCACTTTGGAATCACTTTTCTCAGAAACACGAGTGTGCTACGCGAACAAGCGGAAGCCAGAGCAAAACGCGTGCAAGTTTTATATGCCATGGTTGTAGCATATCAAATCTATAAAGTAAATTAAAGTATAAAAGCCTATAAAGTAAATATTGGTAATCAAATTCGTTTTGTCATTGAAAGTAGGTCTAATAGGATTTTTATTAATTTCACGTAACGCTGTCAGTGAAATTTTATTTTATAGAGACGCAGCAGCAGCATCAACAGAAAAAAATTCAGGAATTTAAAATGTGCCTGTATATTCTTTAGGCTATTAAGCCCACTGATTCCTTTATTTTTAAGCCTATTTTTGTGTGGAATGCCATTGCCAAACCTGTCCGTTGTTGCCGATAGGTTGCTTAAAAATAAATATTTTCTGTTCTGACTGGCAATGTTGCCGTTGCTCATATTTCTTTATGATATAAGGCTTCGGTTTAAGGTGACGTTTGTTAGGCATGCAGATTTTTTGTCCCTCTTTTAAACTGGAGCGAGCGTGGAGCGATTTGACTGGAGTGGGAGGAAATTTTAGTGGAGCGAGGAGCGGTGTTGAGCGGAGCGGCTTAGTGCGAATTAGAGCGGAGGAGCGGGCGGAGTCAACAGCCTTGTGAACGAGGAGCGGAAATTCTCACCGCTCCACTCCGCTCACATGCTCTGCTACGTAGCGTGTATCTGCGCATTGATGTGAAAGGTGAAAACTTCGATCGCGTTGCGGAACCTGAAAATATTAACCTACTTCAAAGATATTTTGCACGTTTAATNGTGTATCTGCGCATTGATGTGAAAGGTGAAAACTTCGATCGCGTTGCGGAACCTGAAAATATTAACCTACTTCAAAGATATTTTGCACGTTTAATAACGAGGTCCAGTGACAAATTTTCCGCACTATTGGGAATTGCTATTGGAAATTTTGTTTTTTTTCACCCCACCCTAATACTCACTGGCCCATTGCGGATAAGATTGGCCACCCCTGCTATAGGTGATGTGATGGACTTTGGATTGAACTTTTTATCTGTTTACACTTGACTTTATGAAAGTAAGTCATTCTGTTTTGTATAATGTCAGGATTCCAAGGAGGGGTTGGGCAGCCAGTTGACCTTGGACCCCCAGAGGCCATTTTTCTCTGTACTTTGGAGTTTTTGGTTCCTCTCCTTAAGGATGCAATGACCAATCAGCTGATGGCCGGAAATAAGCAATTTTCATTCAAATTGGTGCTAGCCAGCATTTGGCCAATCAGTTTAAATATGACTGATATTATGA